AAAATGCTTAGACTAATTCGTCTCACAAACGACGAGTTTTTTTTAAAATTTAATCTTCAACCATGGTAGTTGGCTTTGATATCATGTTATTATGCATTGATTCGCTCATTGCCATTGACGGTTTTGCTCGTGTTACCATCTTGCAGATGGAAGAAGAGAAACGTGGTGCCGAGATGACTAAAGAGTCCTACGAAAAAGCTCAGGCATCCGTCAAGCGAATCAAACGTGATTTAGAGCTGTTGGAGGAAGAGAATGCGCAATTGAAGATGCAACGACGACGATTACAACGGGATCTAGAAGAAGCCACTGAGGCCCGAATGATCGTTGAACGGGATTTGCAGAATTTGCGCAAACTCCACCGGTGAGTGTTTTTGTGCTGTACACTCTTTAACGTGGGATATGCGATTTAGTCCTTTTGTACTATAGCGTGCGACGACCCACCAGTCGCATTCAGCTTTATCTGTCATGGAAAAGCCAAACGTCATGGTCTGATGAGCCAGTTTCTGTATCCTGTTGAATGGTGCACACTGAATCACGGCCTTCAATAGCCGCGGGGGAATCTCATGTCAACGATGCAGAAAAAAGAGCTCTCTAGTTTGGGCCCTGACCGGAGCTGTGGCGATCTTAGATCCTATCATTGGTCATTTCTGCTACTGTTCAACAGCAGGGGTTAAGTTATGCCAGTTCGTTCTGTTGGTCTGATGCTTTAAATTTTCTTCTCCACAACAGGTCACGGTAAGTAAATTGTACGATTTCCAGTCGCTTTGTGATCACATCACATTGAATTCTCATTGGGCATCTAATACTTCACTTATTGGTTAACTCAGTCAGTATTTTCCATCCAGTAATAAAGCATAGGGCATGTTTGGCTATCAACCTATTCCAAATTGTCATTGCAGAGTCATTGTGTCATCCTGGACAGATCATAAACCTAAAAGTTACCTTGGGCTTACCTCATTGTGTGTTTATTTTGTCTTAATCCCTATTAACTAGTATTTGCTTCATACTATTCATGTTTTCTTCTCTTCTCTGTCTTTCTACACTACGCCTTCATTGTCTCTGTCTCAAAACCTTCCTTGTGCGTGTGTTTTGTCTGTTTTGATCGCTGTCTACGGACGTATGGGTGAATGCGGGTCCGCCCAAATCCTTGGACGGGCGAAATTCCTGTTGTAAATCCCACTGTCTGTTCTTTTTTGCGCACTGTTGTTATTGGGTGTGGCGTACCGGGTTCTGCGCCCTGTTGTCTTTTTCTGTTCTTGCTGCTGTTGTTGCGGCGTTTTTGGGTCATTGTTGTCGTTGTTGTCGCAACTCCTAACCTCGTCTTTCATTGATTTCTCTTCGTGTTCGGTTTTACTATCTTTGTGTGTGGTTATCCTTTCGGTGTATTTTTCTATCGTTTCGCTTGCTTTGCACTGGATTCACTCAAATGTTGGAGTGCAGTCCTTCTCGATTGTTTGATTTTAGTGTACCCGAAGCCTTATTATCTTCTCCAAACGGTTCACAAGCCGAGAACGAGGAGGATGGAGATCAGTAATTCACGTCCTTCAGCGTTTGTATACGAACCAACGTTACTTTTACATGCGCGCTCATTCTTTCCACTCAACTTGCACATTTCGGAATCGACAACGTTTGATCAATCAGAAAGTTGTTCTCTTATACCTGGTCAACTTCATCAACGTATAGAGACAATCAGCCGGTGCTCCCCACTGAACCGTTGTCCCTCTCAAAACATATGCTCTCAATTTTTTTCTATCTGCTTCATGCGGGCACCAGATTTTCACGCATTTCATTCCCGTTCCACTCTCTAATCCAGTCATGATACACAACAGTTCCACCTTATTTTAGCGCGCTATCAGAATGCTGCTTACTTGCCCTGATTTATACAAACTGAATAGGGCATCATTTTTGCACACGATCATGTGCATGGTCCAATCATACTACTGTGTCGTCATCATTATCATTTCCCTTCCCTCAACATTTTTCTATACGCTTATTACTTTGGCGTTTTTCCACTGCTTGCTTGCTGCTCGGTGCGAAGCTCTGCCGTTGATCACATACTCCTTGTGCAATTTTCTCCGCTGTCCGCGCGCACACTCCGATGATCGCTATTCATGCTTCGTGTTTTGTTCACAAGTGGTGCTCCACTACCGTTCTGTTTGTCTGTCTGCTTTACCAGAAAGACAGACGGTGTCTGTGCCTCGGGTAATGTCCCTGTATAACTTGTCTTCGCCTCTTGAAACGGTAGGCGTCACTTGCTGCGCGCTTCAAAACTAAAAAGAAAACATTACATCCAGCAGCTGTTATGATTTGATGTTTTTGGAGTCCTTTTTATCGATTGATCTTTTCAGTTGGATTGATTCTGTACGTTGTCAGTCCTAACTCTTCCGAGAGATTAGAAAAGGTTAGAAACCATGATCACTTGAAGGAGCATACCTGTCTATTGTATTGTATTGTAGTTACAACCTCTGTATGCGTAAAGCCTGCATTCACTATCATAAATCGCAAGGAACCATATACATGTATAACCGTCTGTCATATCATAATAGTCCTCGTATAATGTTTTTTCAAACAGGAACCGATGCAATTTTCACAGACCTATGAAGTGTTTTGCAACTAAAGTGAGGTAGAAATAGATTCCGGTTTACGTATAGCAATATGAAACTACGTCGTAAACAATGCTCGTATTCCTGTTTGGGGAGCATTTTTGGTGGTTAGTTGGTTCAACTTCGTTTCTTTTAAATAGAACGGTATTTTTCGATTGTTTCGATAGTCGTCAACTTTTAAAATCCTCTTGACTTCATGGGAACACAAGCTCTAACGGAACATGAGCAAATTAAGTTGGAAGATGGTGATATATAGATAGGCAGAGCAGAACCTTACGATTTGGGTTACGCTGAAGACGTCTGTTTATTCAGTTGTATGCAGATAGCACAAAACGCATTTAGTAAACTAACAATTTTGCATGCTTCTTCTGGTGCGCACTTTGCACGTTCACAGTGCAAAAACTGGGTGTCTAGTACCATGCGTTGAAACTCGACGTTCTGGTAATGACTGATTGCGTGTTTTACTTAAGCGGTTAAAAACGCATGATGGTAGCAGACGGTTAAATGCGTGCATGTCATAGGCTCGCGCAACGTAAGCTACTGGATTCGAACGCTTTGGAGCGTCGATTTCCCAGTCCGTTGTAATATGCACGTCGCGTATCTTTACCACTGCGAACAGTTGAGTTCACGTGTTGATGACATCCGTTTGCGCAACCTTTTTTTTAACTATCTGTAATGAACCTACATCATCGGATCGGAAACATCTAGCCATCTGAGTGTTTCGTTGAAAACCTTGTCATAACCAGTTGAAGTGAGCAGGCCTCACTATTTTGTTTGTGTTTAACATTTCTCGATCGCATCGCATCATAGTTACAGTTTCTGTTCCGGGATGTAACAAATTACATAATAATCAATAGATTACATAGAACAGATATATGGAGAGCATGGATGCTGTAGGTGTCTTTTATCTTTCACTCTACTACATTTCGTTGGCTGATGGTGCATTGTCCGAAGTAGCACGATTTCTTACTGCACTGACCGTGCAACGATTGGTAAATCATTTATTTTATTACCTGGGACAGGAATTGATGATAGGTAGCCTTGCTGTTGTGCGGTTCTATAGCACGCCTAATCTAACGGGGCCGCCAACGGTCCGCCAATCTAAGTCCCGAGACTGCCGGTTTCCTTCACTGAACAGTAGGTTCTCGTAACTATGTTGTTCAACCCGTCTGCTGTTCTTCACACTAAGGTGGGTGATAAAAAATATATTGAAGGTGCGAAACGGATATTAGTGATGAAATAGAATCCACTCACTCATTCAACTCGTAGTAGTCATGCTAATGAGTGCCTTACTGTGCATCATGATACGTCAGGTCAAGTTAGGTTGTCATTGGATTGTTGTTTGATTAATGATTTTAACCCCCTGAGAAACCAACATTCGATCTGTTCGCAGTTGATTACTAACATCGTTTCATAGAACCGTGTTCGGAAAATGCTTGGTTTATATGAAGTTCACCAGGTGTTATCCATGATGGTGGCATCATATGGTCATAATCTATTTCTATTGATTTCTTGGGTATGTTGTTGGAGTGCACGGTTGTCGGCCGGAATGGCACTCTTTATATTGAATTCACCAAATCTCTTAGAATTAGCTCTCAAAAGCCATACTCATATTGACTCATGAATAACGCATGTCCAAGAAGCATATTGGGTCTAAACCTGTTCGCAGTATCATCAATCTGCTTTGAGCTTTTGGTCAAGTTCCTAAATTCC